TCCCAGCAAATATTTCACAAAGCGCAGGGGTTATAAAGTAGATTTCATCAAACTTTCCCAGATAGTTGTTAAGCCGGTGGCGCACGTAATACGAGCGGCGGCCAACGTCATTTGTTTCCCCCCGATGTCGTCAAAATATTAGACCTTCTTTACATATTTCGTATGCACGTTCGTCCCATGGCATCGCATACGCTAACGTTCGACGCCATCGCCGCCACCCTCCTGTCTAATGGTATCTGATCACACGTGACGCGCGGTGAAAATTAAAATTACGACCGGATTTTTCAACCTGTCGCCCATAATGCCCCCTCACTTTTTATTCGTCGTGTTACGAAACCGTTTGCCTCTGTGTACACAGCCAGGCGATAATTCTTGTTCAAAAGGGTAATTTAAGTACTTCGCTGAATGTAGGCCTACTTGACTTAATAATTCGAGAACGATGGTAATAGATCTTTTGGTGTTTATAGTAGTCCTATCTTTAAGATTGGATAATAATAATCAATATTGCAATTGTGTACTGTGTTCGAACTCTTGTTACAATGTAAATCGGATTTACTCTAGTTTATTAAATATTCGTCATTTACTGCCGCCTGTTTCAAGCACGAGAATCTGTTGTGAGTTCTCTGTCCTCAGTACTGTCATTGCCTGTTAGCCATAGAACCTGGATGGGATCTCCATCCTGTGATGGTCCCCACTAATAAACATCATTGGTTTATCCCTTGAAAGCACGACTAATCGTCTAACTACTTAATGTATGGCGAATAGGTCGGGTTCAGTGCAGTCCAAGCTTTACAAGCGATTAAATAGGACCTCTCTTGTTCCAACTGCATTATAAAGGAAGCCAAGATGTTACGTATGACGTCATTTACTAGGACTCCATGTTTGCTTGCGCATACGCGCTGGGGACCTCGAATCCGATTGGTGGAACTGTAACTTCAAGTAGCTACCTCTGGTAACTTTTGCGACAGAGCTAGCGAACCTAATTCAGCATAAGTATCTGAAGAGGTACTAGATGACCAATTATTATCAAGCACTTGTCAAATTTTGATCTGACCACTGTTGCAAACTCAACCAATCCCTTATTTATAGTCCTCCAATGTCCGCATACTTCACTGGATCGTTATCATGGATCATACTTTCATTTTATTCAATACGCCGTCTGCGACGAATATATTCTTCAGCCGCCATTATTGACAGCGAGGTATCACCGCGCGACTTTTCATTGACACATTTTAATATCCATCGGCCTCATAGCGATACCGTCGCGACTAACACGGAGCGATAGAGAGGTAAAAAGCGCGGGGGAAGCACTGTGATATGCGATGCAACCTCGTGAAATTACTCCTACTGGCCATGGATGATCGAATCCGACTAATCACACTCAGTGGTTGACAGTGTCTCGCCTGTGAAGCCTGGCGTTATGCACTCGCGTGGCTATTTATATCTGGTTCATCTAGCAACATGCATTTAATAGCGTGCTCGACGATCATCGCGACAGAATCTTGGGAGCAAAAACAAAGACGGTGTGGTTACCGCGAAGCATTGAAAACCAAGGCTGAGATAAGACTGGTTTCTTGCGATTCCTTAACAGGTTAATTAGAGAAATGTTTTCGGCTGGTGGCGAATATACACGTTGAATACAAACAGTGAACTGTTTGACGTGATAAAAATTCTTGGGTAAACAGAATAACGTTTTAAAAGTTTGCTATTTACACTACCGTTGACTAGTATTAGGACACCTAATCTGTCTGGACAAAATCTGATATTCCAAAAAAATTGCATATTTTGAGTTTCCTTTATTACTTTATATCTAAATAAATCCCATCAAGTTTTAAAATCCCATAAAAAGTATATATTTTAAATTCCAGCGATATCGTGATATCGTATTGCATTTACTTTATATTCGATAAGTGTTCTAATATTTACTATCCCCATTGTCCTAAAATTAATTTTATGGACGGGAGTGTACTTTGGAGCACCCGTTATATATTCAATGGAACATGTAGGACAAAATGGTGTGGACGCAGTAAATAATATTACGCTGTTGTATTAACCAAAGCGTAACTCGGTACTAACAAGAAAATGCAAATGAGCGTGCGCCGAAGAAAAGTAATTTGTAATCGCTGTTACAGTATGTATGTACAAAGTTGTTTTCCGCGTACAAACCATCGCTCAAACATCACGCGAAGAGTAAAGCTACGAAAATCCCTCCCATATTCTTCAAGATACCCGGGCATGCGTGTTTCTAAAGTCTCCGGGAAGAAAAAAAGTGCATGGAAGTTGCACCTGTCGGCGTGGTACGCCGATAACGTGCGACACCGCAATTACGTAGATTTCCTTCTTATTGTAGCATTATCATATACAAAACAGATTAGCGTGGCTTGCACGGGGGAACAGTGCGCTACTACTACAAGGCACACGAAACTTCGCGGCAGAACACCTGAATAATTTTATAAATTAGTTCATATTTAATAACTCTTCGATGTCGCCAAAGTACGATACTTGTGTAGATACTGCATCAATGACGAAGTTAATGAATATTCCCTCAAAAACTACATATTACCTTCAGACACCACACCAGTGTGAATTTGCACTATCGAAACATTGTTCCGTCTGTACCATTCTAGCTGGAAATCATAACGGTTTCAAATTTTCCCAGTAAAAGAATTATTTTTAAATTTTACAATTATTACCATTGAACTTCTAATGAAAATTTACCCCAAAAAATACGTCATGAGTTCAATTTGTTTTTAGTCTCTTCAAGTTCTTAATCGTAAAAAAGTCAAAATCCCTATTCTCATTAGTGTAATGTTTGCGTCTGTTGAGGTGGGGTGTGGTGTCTGAGAGGTCAATTCTACATTCAGCCTGCCAGAAACTTCAACAAAGGAATTAAATTTATATACAATTCCCTTTTCTTTTCTAACCCCAACTACACGAAATCTGTATTTGCATAAACGCCCACAATCTGTTGATTACAATCCGCCTTCGTGTCTACAGCCAGTCTCGTATGTCGTATTCCCACCGCATGAGAATTGAAAAAACTAGCAAAATAATCATTCACAAAGAATCCAATCAAAGGAATAAGCTTTCTAGTAGAATCATACGAACAAAATTGCATTTTTCACGTGGCGATTATAGTTGAGAGACCTTGAACACTGAAACGACTACTTCCGTATCGTCCCCGGTACCGCGTTCTCCGGAAACCAGCACGCAGAGGGGTTGCGCGAGGGCACGCATATCCCCCCCCCCGATATCGCGCTGGATCTCCCCGGTCCCGTGGCCGTTAGATCAGGTCGCGGTGAAAAATAAACACGCGACCGAATATCCCCGAAGCCTGGTTCTAAAGAGTATCGTAGATTTCGTACCTCGATTCTGTACACCTTGCACGGCCTGCCACACTTTCTGCTCGTGACACACACAGTGCCGTACGTCGTGGTGGACGCGGGCCACTCTTAGGACCGCGCACGAACGTCAGGGAGAGGGAGAGGTGGGCTTCCAGCGCATGTGTGTACGTGTATGTGCGTGAATCCTCTCGGATTATATGTGAATTCGTAGGTGTGCCGGGACTTCACGGTTGTGTACGGGAGGACCTTACGTGTGCGCCGCGGACCCTGTTCCGTGGACCCTCTGCGCGTTTCCACCATCAGCAGGAGGTGGATCGGAAGCGCGCATGCTCCCACGGCCGAGAATCTCCCCAGTCAGGGTAAATCTGCCACCGAATCAAGACGTGGTGCGTGTCGCGGTCGTCCTAAATACGATGTCGCGTACACAGACGCGAGATTCCAGTTGAGTTAAAAGAAAAAAAAAAGACAGGTCCCCTCCCCTTTCCCCGAAGTAGAATCGCGAATGACGATCGTATGGAAATGAAGAGGAACCGCGCGGCTACGATCCTTTTCGGAACGTTCCTATGGACCTAGCTGTGTGAACAGTGGCGAACGGTTCGGTTCGGTGTGGGCGAAAGAAGTTACGGTTGGATCTGAGATTCATAAGTGTTGGACAATTTTAACAGACACACGTGAAAGAATGTCAAGAGCAAGGTCGATTTGTGCCCTGAACGGGGCCTGTATACGAGCGAAACTTCTTACACTTACCGTGAAACTGAATGATCTGTTAACACCGAGAACGCTGACTAAGTTGTACGAGATAGAACATTGAAGTGGGCTACCCTCGAAACCCACGGACAACCGACCCTGATCTCGTTTCGAAGTGTCTTCTCGAGATTCTTGGGATACAGTAGTTTGAAACTATCCGAGACGCGTGTGTAACAGTTGATGTGCTAGCAGTACCCTATGTGGTCATAGTTCATCCAAAAGACGTTAACTAGGTTCTCAATGATAATAAAGTTTTCGTGCCAAACTCCACGATTGGAAGACACTTCTGGGGTGTGTTCCATGTGATCGACTAAGGAAGGTGTCAGGGAAAGACGATTGGGATTCGTCAGGTGTCCAACTGGCAAGGGGGGATCAAGACTCCTCGGGGACCGATCGAAGAGTTCAACGTATCGGACAGTGGTTCAAACGACCCAGACTGCCGCGACAATCGACTCGGGACTTGACTTCTTGCGTGACACGGTTACGAGGAAACTTTCTCGACGCGTGTTATCTGTTTCCGTGGGTACTAGTACGCAAGCTGGTACCCAGATACCGTTCTCTCGAAACTTTCAAAGCGTTCCCGCGAGTGTGGTGCTGCTGCTGGTTGCCGTTTATGTTTCGGCTGCGTGTGGATACAGGAGACACGCGCCACGGTAAAAGGATCCGTTAAATGACGCGCTCCAGGTGATTCAGGATTCGTTCGATCGCGAGTTGAGCCTCGGGATCACGTCTGTGAAACAGTGCTTTTTTACACGGTGTTGCATAGCGATGACAACACGACCGGCATAAGGATTTCCCGCGTTTGTGCCGAATACATGTCAGTGCGTGGACGGTGCGTCGTCATCCAGTGAAGAGGATGTGAATCGCTTACAGTAACCAAAGTGAACGTGCCATCAAACAATAGCGGACATGGCTTTGAGGTGGCAGGCGAGGCTGTCCATTGCTGCCATACTCTTCATGTGCACCGAAGGTAATTATTCAATGGGAACGTCTTGACAATTGAGGGAACTGCGGGGAAACGCCTTTGTGCGGTGTAAACGGTTAGGTATCCTGTACGGACTGTGTATACGGGTTAGGATCGAACATAGAGTGTAATAAAAAAATCAAGTAGATGAAACAGGACCGTGTTATTTTTCAAATTAATTCGAAGTCTTATTGATCTTGAGGTATTTTAGAAAATAATTCGTGATCCATCGAAGGTAAAATAATGACACAGAAATGAAACCAGATATGTATGTTAGATCTCAAAGTCACGTTACAATGAAAAGTGATTAATGTTAAGAAGTTAGAGCATAGTTAGGTTCAACTGGCAAATACCTCAATACAACGAAAGTTAATACAGTAACTGAATTCACAAAGATAACAGGGACTACGTAGCGAAGATACGCTACAATAGGTCGTATCATTAATCCTACACGAAAACAGTGACCTCTCCGACCGCCATGAAACTCAGTGAACGTCTTGGGGAGGCACAATAGTGGCTCGGTGTTCGCCAAGTGGAAGGAATGACCGCGAATATTCGGAGGCGCGCAATAATCCGCCTCGAATACTCCCTCGGCTGATCCAGCAGACAGCCGGGAGGAGTTATTCGATCGAGAACGTAGCGGCTATCGAGCGGCAAAATGGTACAGCTAATGGAATTACCGTCGTGCATGCGTGCGTGCGACGCGAATTTATCGTATGCATTATTCATAAGTCAGTCGCCTGTGGCCCCTGCCCCAGGAATGATACACGACGGTGGAGGGACAGAGGTAGTGAGAATTCCTTTTTTTATTCTACTTTCCGCCGTGAAAAGCGACACGGTGGTCGTCTGGTACACGAAGGCCCGTTAATATCGATCTACGTAAACTAATTAACCAGTCTCTCGCGTCACAGCGAGCCGAGAATCAAATGCGCCTAGACGACGCCATCCCTGTCGCTGTCGTCGCAGGACAACGCTACGTACTCACCCCCCTACCCTACCACCTCCACGCGCTTTACACCTCGTTTACGCCATTGTCGTTCTAGACGAACAACTTCGGCAATTTCGTTCGACGCTACTAGACGCCCGCGGGGCACTTTGTTCGCGCTCCCAAGTTTGCTCCGGTAAATTAAACGCTTGTCTCGGGACCGCGTGATTCTCGGCTGTGGTACTACCGGTAGACCCGAAGATCGCGGATTCTTGTTTGCCACTGTGAGATCGGTTGGGTTCGGTTTATCCATCGACAATAGCCTCGACAATCTAGCTGAAAATTTTAATTATGTGCGTATTTATTAATGGACAAATTAAACTACTGCTTGTATGGATTATTATGGGTTTTAATTGAAGACGATATAATACTTCTTATATGAGGTGTATATGTATATATATACCTCATATTACCACTTCTTTTACTGCATTATCCACCAATCAAATGTCGATTCGTTGCTACAAGCATCTATGCGTACAACCATCAGTCAGAATACATTCGACCGTCAACAAGAACACATCTCTCATTCAGAAGAAACACACGTAGTATACACTTTCACATACAGCACAGTGTTACATTTATATAAATATTGAAGTTGAAATGTGTTACAAAGTAGTGTTAAATTATTCAAATCACACCTTATCGCCGTATACCATCACACCATATTCCAACGAACTACGCGGTATTAATTTACATATTATTTTTATTTTTCATCAGAATGTTCCAATGATATTAATTAGTACATCTTCGACTAACTGGTTCCAATCTGTGGACGTTTCGCACGAATCCCAAAGAACTGCGACAATGGTGAGGAAAATTCGATGCGTTTTGTAACACGTCGGATATTAACGTGTTGAAAATGGCGAAAATTAAACCATGCACAAACCGTCGCGTCGGGAGCCCAACGGCTCCTTCGAGAATACTAACTTTTCTCGAATACTCGCCTCGTCGAGTTTACCTTTCCCCGGGCGTTAACGCCTCGTACCGTTATCTCGAATAATTTCCACGGTATACACTACCGTCGACACAATGCTTACCTTGTTCGTCGTTAAGACATAACTGATTCGTCTAATCGGTCACTAAAAGGGGCCATTACTGGGGCGTTCATTCAACGAACACGTGGTCGAACGTGACAAAACTAACGACCTTTGTCGCGGGAGGCACCGAAATGTCGACCCACTGACACACATTTCTCCATGGATCGGTTATTTTTAACGGTGAAAATTACTCCGACTGATCGCGCCGATTCTTCCGTTTCATTAAATCCATCGTTTTGCGTGCACGTCGAACGACGAGGCGATACTGTACACTTGGAGATCAAATTTATCATCGAACCCACGCATTTCACTTTAATCACAATTAATTACAAAATATTATTTCGCGCTGTTCCCGTGTTAATTACAACTGCTCGTCTCATTTAGTAGTCGTCAGCGAGCGACACGGGTAGCTGTTCGCGAAACTGGCAGCAATATCAGCTTAGACGTCATCGAGTTCACTTTGCAAGATCGTATGGCAAGAACGATACAATGTTCCGACGACGACGGAGCAATAAAGTTTATGCTAATGGTCGTTATAAAATCCATCGTGTTTCACGAATGCCCGTTACATTTATGCTCGCCACGCTAACTGATTCTCAACAATACGAGCGACACTTGCCTGCGAGAAACATAACAAAGCGAAAAGCCTTTGTATTATCTTATGATTCGGGACAAACTAGGAGTATTTAGGAAAGCAGGGTATTTGATTATAATACGATGTCAATAGCTTCATTTAATACTGGTTAACCAAACTTTGGAGCTTAGTAGAACTTTTCACATTCTATTGATCGGACAGTAACGAAGTTAAATTAAATAGTAAATGGATTTCAAACTTTGTCGTTTGAATATTTCATTTATTCGGGGGACATTAATACACTTCACTGAATGAACCCACTCGTTCATACGTTCAATTGGAAAGACAGGGAATTTGAAAGGTTTGCAAAATTAAAGGACAAAGCTTCCAATAACGTTCCACGTACGTTCGCAGCTGTAGAATCGGTTGGAAATCTTTTTCAATTCCAATGGAAATTAACGGCCAGCGAAATGCGAAAATTTCCGGTCGCTCGAAAGCAACAGGGGTGTGCAAATTGGAAGCTTTGGCTGTCCGGTTTTGTTGACAGTTTCGTGTTACCGAAAGCGGTTGAAATCCAGCCAACGTTTCGCTGTAAACGTTTGCTGGGCTCGTTAATGTCCTTATTGTTCACCTTTAATAACTGACAGAAATTAAGTATTCACCTGACACTAGGGATTCGCTGCTATTTTTCAGTTATCTCTGACAGAGTGTACCGAAACGATAACGTTAAAAATGACTTGGCATTGTTTGCGTGCGCGGTATTCGGAGTCGACTTCCACGTCGACTGTTTCTTTCTCCGACGCGCAACGCGCAGAACTTTCGGAAATCTTATCTTATTGCCTCGCTTCGTCGCCGCCGAGTTTCGTAGGTTTCGGTGCACGCTATCGAACTTGGTCGACGGAGAAACCAGCGTGATTCCTTTATCTGGATGATAAATTGGACTATCCCGATTCCGTCGCCTTGGTCTTCAGGGGGTGGAGGACGATTGGGATTTCCTTCTTGCATTCGGTCGAACTGTTACCATTTTTCGAAAACATTGCAATTTCCAAAAGAATACAAGTGTCTCCAGAATGTGGGCAAGTACTTGCACAAAGTTTAAAAATAGTTGGTTACTTCACAAATTCGAAATACAGTAAATCATCGATGAGTGTCCGAAGGCTCCTCGGCACTGAGTATTCAGACACAATCCCCACCACTGGAAGGCTTTCCCGTGGAAACAGTCAAGCACCCAGTCAGTGGGGATAACGACTGAACACTCAGTGCCCAGGAGCCTTCGGACACTCATCCATGCTTTACTGTACATACACCAAGCCTCACATTTACCATCTGCTACTACCACCTCTTCAACAACCTACACGAACCAAAATCCTGCATTTACCACCAATACAATCACCACTCAGAACACATTCAAACATCGAACAAAACATATCGATCACTCAAAACACAACCAGTACACACATACAAGCATCACATTGTTAAGATTGTATTAAAGCCTAAGTTACTCAAAACCATGTACCACTATACACCATCATATCATCTTTCCAACGAGCTCCGCAGTATTAATTTACCAACGAGCAGTGGCAAATCGCGAGCTTATCATGAGTACGTTGCAACAACAATAACAGGCCATGGATGACGACTGACTGTTCCAAATTATTTGTTCAACCACGCTGCTTCGAGAGACTGGGCTACTCTTCTGTAATTGTCGCGACACGTTCACAAGCCCCGACATCCACAAACACAACCGTGGAATCGTATTTTCTTCCAGCGAGAATCGCGTTCGAAACAGCGGTACGTACCGTTCAGTTCTCTGGGGTGCACTCGGCGCATTGTCCGCGGATGAGGTAAATCTCCGGTGAAGAATGATTTTCATTCGTCCGCTCGAGCGTGGAGTTAAGAGGGAAAAAGGTCATTACCGGGATTAGCGGAATGAGAACGGGTCCCCCCGGCAGTTCGTTTCACTTTCCAGTATCGCCGGTGTAAAAACGTCGAAACCCTATCCCACTCTGAATCCCTGCGAATAATATTACCTATTTTGTCCACCTCCAACTCTAAACTGTCTGTCGGTTTTTAGCGACTATCAGTCAGACACTGAAGTCGACCGTCAGAAGAAACGACTTGAAGGGGGGGATCGCCTAATCGGGGGTAAAACGAGCGTAAGTAAGTTGCATCGTTCAGCTTTCTCGCGACTTAATTATGGTCGTGAGTCCATTGTGAGGGAAGTTTCGGGACGTCGAACGACGGAGCGTGTCGCGGGTAAAAAACTTGCGACGAGGCTGAAACTTTCTCGAGATTCTCTGGTGGTGGTGGACCGACCTCAGCGCTATCCATTATCGCTCGCTAATTTCATATTCGACGTCGGTTCGACGAAAATTTCGCGAAGCGTTCGACGGCCCTGAGCGCAGGAGAG